GAGGGGGCTCTCAGCAGCGTCACTGTGGCCACGGTGGGGTGCAGGGTGTGGTGGTGCAGCCACAAAGGGTGTCCCCAGCCGTTCCCCATCTCCCTGCTGCCAGAGCTGGTCCCTCCAGGCTGGCTGTGCGTGTGCTAGGATAGCACAGGGAGTGCTGGGCCGGCTCGGGCTAATGGAGCCTGTAATAGCCGGTGCCGAGCCGAGCGGGATTGATGGCCGGCGCGTGCTGGCGGTGGGCACTCAGCCGTGGCCGGCAGTGGGAAGCGGGCTCCTTGTGCCCCCCCGGCGTGCTGGCTGTGCCTGCGCTGCTGCAGGTGGCCGGGCTGCTGCCGCAGCCCCCGTGGCACGTCCTGCTGGGCCCCCCCAGCTCCCGAAGCCCAGCTCATCATTGGCTGCGGCTGCACGCACGGCCGTTGCGCCTCACGGCTGGAGCGCTGCTATCCAGCCGAGGATCAGTGCCAGGCTGTGCTGACAGGCCCTCCTGGGGGCTCCCAAACCGGGGGGCTGTGCTTGGCTGTCCCTGGGGCACTGGGGACCCTCATCCCTGTGTTCCTGCCTGGCAGAGCTGGGGCTGGTCTCCATACTGCATCCTGGCTGTCACAGCTGTGTCGAGGAAGATGGCACAGCTCCTCCTTATCTCCCACCATGGCTGCCAGGCTCCAGGCTGCAACGTGCCTGTCTGGTGCTCACTGTGGTAGCGGACAGCCCCACACTCTGGGTCAGGGACCCCAGGCCCGACAGATGTGGGACGGGGCTCCACGGCACTCTTGCTGGGGGGGCAGATTCTCTGGTAGTCAGAGCTGGTGCATGGTGGTCCTGTGGGTATCCCACCCTGAGCTGTTGGGTGTAGGGTCTCTGCAGCCTGCCCTCCCCAGCAGTGCTCCTGCCTGCTCCAGTCCTGTCAGCCATGGAGCAGATATCCTGCACGGCTGCTCTCTGCCTCCCTGGAGTGGTCGGAGTCAGGTCTGGCCCCTGTGTGTCACCACATCACCTCAGCTTTGGTGCCGGCCGTGGTGGGGCAGGAGCACATCATCTCTGTCTGCAGCATGTTTCAGGGCCTGCTTCCTCCAGCACACAGGCAGGCCTGGCTCCTGGGGGTCCTGCTGCTGCCAGTTTGCTCCTTCCTGTGCTTCAGTTCCTGCTGTGCTGGGGACACTGCTCCGGGGGAATGGCGGGACAAGGGCTGGGAGCCCTGGCCAGGGCCATGAGGAGCTGCAATCCAGGCTCCCGGCAGGGAGCTCCCAGGACAGCCAAAGCCTGCCCTGACCCCCTTCTGCTCTCTTCTAGATGGGTCCCTCCACAAGCACCTTATTTGCAAGGTCAGTGTTTCCCACCATGTGATCCCTGTCAGGGCCGGCACCTGGCGAGCCCCCGGCAGTGCAGGTGGCAGAGCCTGGGGAGCCAAGGCACCTGCAGAGTGTTGGAGGGGCAGAGCAGTGCCATGCTCCCACCCCGGGCATCCCGCTCTTGGGGCATGGATGGCTCCGGGGCAGGGCTGTGACCCAGGGCTCTCCCTTGGCCCCCAGGTGCAGTGCATTGCCACACTTCAGGTGGGCTCCATCCAGGCAGGTAATGCATCTGAGTGTGGACAGTGCTTCAGTCTCTCCTGGATGCCTTGCAAGCCCCACCATCACCTGGCAGCAGGGTTTTATGATGGTGAGTCTCTTTGTGTGCCCTGCAGCAGCACTCAGGGAGCAGCTCTCACCCTGGCACAGGCACTGGAGCCTCAACTGCTCAGTCTCAACTGGTGCTGGAACCTCTCTGCCCAGCCCTGGGTCAGGGGAAGGCTTCTCTGGGCTGGCTGTTGTCATTCTGACATACTTCCAGGCTGGTCGTTGGTTGTCCCTGTCTGTGGCTCTGGGCTTATCCACATCTGTTGAACTTGCCTGGATAGAATTTTCTGCTAGGCTTGCAGCGATCCACAGCTCTGTGCTGTGTTGCCAGGACCTGCTGCCATGCTGTCTGCTTGGAGTCCCAGCTCCAGCCTGGCCACCCTGTTCCCGTGGCCCTGCCTGTGCTGCTGCTGTGTCCTGACTCTGTCCTGTCCTGCTCGCAACCCCAGCCTGGCTGCTGTGCTCTGCAGCTCCCACAGCCCTGCCTGTGCTGCTGCTGGTCCCCCGCTGAAGCAGCTGCGCCGTTGGCAGTGCCTCATGGACACAAGTCTTTCCACAGGCACCGTGGCGGTGTGGAACCTGCTCACCAAATCCCTGCTGCAGTGCGTGCACCAGCCTGATGCCTCCCTCAAGCTCTACCCTTTCCAGTGCTTTCTAGCCCATGACCAGGCAGTCCGGAGCATTGAGTGGTGCAAAGCTGACAGGTGAGGGCAGGAGCAGGCACAGATGCTGCCAGGAGAGGAGCTTCCTCCTGCAGAAGAAGCTCTTTTGTCAAGAAGGGCTCGAGAGGCCATGGTGCCAATGGCACTTGGCCCTCTGCAGCACCACAGAGGTTGGGTTGGGCTTTCCAGGGTGAGGGCAGTTGAGCCACTGCGAGACTGGGGCCACGTGAGCCCTGTGGTGGGCCAGGACAGGGCTCCATGCTGGGCTCTCAGTGCTGCCTCTCTCCTGCTTCTCAGCAACTTCCTGGTCACGGTGGGCAGCGATCGCAAGATCAAGTTCTGGGACCTGCGGCGGCTCTACGAGCCCATCAACAGCATCAAGCGGTTCCTGAGCACCGAGGTGGCCTGGCTGCTGCCCTACAATGGCATCACTGTGGCCCAGGACAACTGCTATGCCCCGTGAGTGCTGGGGGCCAGTCCTGCTGCCAGGGCCTGGTCCAGCGTCCCAGGGGTCCCTCTGGCTTCCCCTCCCTGGGACTGTCCAGCTGTGCCATGGCAGGGCAGGCTCTGCTTGTCTTGTGTCACACCGCAGCAGCAAAGCGTGACATCCCCTCTGCCATGCCAGCCTGAGACAGAGGCAGGGTGGGCCAGGGGATGGCCTGGGCAACAGGTGTGCTGCTGAAGAGGTTTGGGAACTCAGTGAGTTCTTGGCCTCTGGGAGCTGCCTTGCCTCTGCTTGCTCTTGACTCTCTGACATGCTGCTGGAACAAGAATGGCCCCATCACCCTGGGCCAGTTCTGTAGGGAGGTGGGCTGTGCCTGGCTCTCGCGTTCCTGGTGACAGCAGAGTCGGGTGTCCCAGGCCTCATTCTGTCCCTTCCACCGCAGGTACGGGCTCTGTGGGATCCACTACATCGACGCCGGGTATCTGGGCTTCAAGGCCTATTTCGTGGCCCCTCGCAAGGGCACCGTGTGGGTAAGGGCCAGTGCAGGGCCACTCTGTCCCAGTGGCCGGGTCAGCACCAGCTGGGGCCCAGGGCTTGCGGGCAGGGTGACACTGCCTGGCTGGGGGTGGTGGGAGCCCCCTGCCCTCCAGCCCTCTGTCCCTGCAGAGCATCTCTGGCTCAGACTGGTTGAACACAGTAGCTGCGGGTGACATCACCGGTGAGCTGGTGGCAGCGGTGCTGCCTGACCTGGCTGTCAACCCCCTCAACATCAAGCGCTCCTCGGACCGCAGATTTGTAAGAGACCATCGCGCTCGGGAGGCCCAGCCCAGCACACGGGGCCGGTGGGGCAGGGGGACCATAGGAAAAGTGTCCTGGGCTGCCATCCCACTGGTCCCTGGTGGTCCTTGTCTGCAGAGGAGCAGCAGGATCTGTGTCTGCCCTGCCCTGAGCCGCCTCTTACCCACAGCCGGTGTACAAAGCTGACCTGCTGCCATGCAACCCTGAGGGGCCTGAGCGCACCGAGCAGGCCCTGCCCAGGACCCAGCGCTACAGTGAGATGGTAGCCAGGAGCTACATCCGATTCCAGGACACGGACCTGGTAGGAGAGGACAGGGGGCAGCCAGTTTCTGACCCACGAGCAGCACTTCTGGGGCTGTGGCTGGGCAGTGGGGGTGGCAGGGCCGGGAGATGCTGCTGGGGCAGGGGGCAGCCCCTTACCTCCGGCAGGGCTGAAGGGATGGTGCCTGCGATGCTCCTGCCTCGGGCCCGCAGCCCAAGGTGGTGCTGCCACTTTCCAGCGCAGCTTCCAGAACTTCCCGAGCCGGGAGCCCATGCGCCGGATGCACACGCAGGAGCTGAAGGCAGAGCTGAGCCTGGACCGCCTGCAGCTGGAGGCGCTCCACAAGGTGAGTTGGCCAGTGTGAGCCCAGCCCAGCCCTGCGCTCAGACGGCTCTGCTCAGCTCTGGGGGCTGCAGTCCCAGCGCCCCAGCCCGTCTCTTAGGAGCTCCTCTCTTCCCACAGGTGCGCTTCAGCCCCAACCTGGACTCGCAGGGATGGCTGGTGTCGGGCGGGCAGGCGGGCATTGTGCGGGCCCACTGCCTGGCGGGGCTGGCCTCTGGCGTGAGCCCCCAGCTGCTCCCAGAGTGCCAGGCCCGCTTCAGCGTCCTCTATGGGGACACACCCAGCAGCCCTGCCGCCCCTGAGCACTCCCTGCTGCCGGCGGAGTAGGGCACCAGTCCCTCACGCTGCTGCTGCCGCCGTGTGCTCACCCTGGGCAGGGCTTGGGGCTAGGGCCAGCTGTGCTGGCGTGGGGCTGCGGGCCCTCTCGGTGCTGCTTTCCTGATGGGTGTCTGCTGCAGGAGGGACGGCTGCTCCCAGCCATTCTCTGGGATGCTCTGGACACTTGTCCTTGTGCTTTGGGCCTGCAAGGGTCTGTGTGCACTGTTTGGTCTGAGCTGGGCAGGGGTAGTGGGACCCGTGCGTGTCCCGGGGCTGAGCTGTGGGTCTGACCCTGCAGAAGCCCCTGTGGGCTCCGCCAGCGTGGAGCTGTGCTTGTGCTCGCCTCCATCCCCACCGAGCGCCGGAGGGTGGGGAAGGGGCCGGGAGCTGTGGAGTTGCTCACATTGAGCTTGTGTTCAGCTGTGCAGAATAAATGTGGTTGGTTTTGTATGGCTCTGGTGGCACTGGCACCGGGGTGGGCCTGGCTGGTAGCTGTGGCTGTAGGGGCCCACCCCCAGCTCCACCATTTCCCTTCCCATGCCCCTCTGTCTGCTGCACTGTTGCTGCTCCAACACATTTATTGGCAGCGCTGGCACCGCTGCTGGCACAGATGGACAGATGGACACCAGGGGTACAGGCACGACTCAGCAGAGGGAATGGATTGGGGCCAGGCACAGCAGGATTTAGATGGAGCACGGGGGGCTGAGGCCAAGGCCAGGTCTGAGGGCCCCCATGGGGGATGTCCCTTCCTGCCAGGACAGACAGGCTCCTGGGGACCGGGTGGTTGGGCAGGATTCCACTTCCTCAGGAGCTGTGGCACAGCAGGGAGTGGAAGATTCCAGGGGGCCCCTGTGCCTGGCCAGGCCACGTATCTTCCTCCAGGACACCACACTGGAGTCACTGTCCCACTCCAGGGCTCCGCAGCGGTGGGGTGGGGAGAGGGGGAGATGGGATCTCAAGCACTGCCCTGCTCTAGCACAAGGAGCTGGGGCCAGGGCCACGTCTGGCCCAACGTAGAGCGGGTGGGGGTCTCAGGTTCGGGGGTCCTGGCAGTGGGGACAGCCTGCTGACTCCTCCTGGTGCTGCTCCACCTGTACCGTGCACAAGGCAAAGCCAAACCTGCTCTGGAGCCGGGCAGTGACCTCCTGCAGCACCGTCTCGGCATCAGCACCGGCATCTAGGAGCAGCAGGGCAGGGGCTTGTTCCTGGCATGGCCAGTGGGACCCCCGGCCACGCCCTGTGCGGGTCACTCACCCACAGCCACGTGTACCGACACGGCGGGGTGGCTCAGCGTCAGCGCCCAGAGATGCAGGTCGTGGACGCCCCGCACCCCGCTGGCCCCCAGCAGCACCTCCTTCACCGCATCGAACTCCAGGCCCCGCGGTGTCCCTGCCAGCACCACCTGGTCACACGGGGCCACCCGTGGCCCCCAGACATCACACCCACCTGGGTGAGGGCTCCCAGTGGAAGCCGCTGGGGCTGGCGTCTTCCCCAGGGGAACTAGGCTGGGCATGGAGGCTTTGGGGTGAGACAGGCCTCACCTTGGGGCCCATGCACCTGGCTGCGGTGGAGAGGAGGAACTGGGGGGATTCGGGTGGGGCAAGGGAGACACAGAGGCGGCGAGCTGCCTTGTGGGCAAAGTGCTGTGGCAGATGAAGCTCCCGGAGCTCCTGTGCCCACCCTGCACCTGTGCTCTCACACCCCTCTCACTCACTGCTCACCTTCCATAAGGACCCTGAAGACGTCTTTGAGGATCGTGATGGTGGAGCCAAGGACGAAGACTGAAAAGAAGAGGGTGCTGATGGGGTCTGCGATCTTGCACTGGGGCTGTGGAGAGCGGGTCTCTGTGAGGCTGGGGCAGAGCCCCCGTGGCACCCTGCGTGGGACTGGGAGAGCTGCTCCCACAGGCAGCGCTGGGGCATCCAGCCCAGGCACCTTGAAGTAGATGATGGTGGCAGCCACGAGGACACTGATGCTCTGCAGCAGGTCACCCACCACGTGGACAAAGGCTGCCCGCACGCTGGTGCTGCCAGGCAGGGGGCTACGGCTGGGCTGGCAGGCCACAGAGTTCTCCAGCTGCTCATAGGCCCCTGGGCCATGGCCATGGCCAGCAGGGGACTGGTGCAGGATGTAGGCCATGCTGGAAAGAGCAGGGCTGGCTCAGTGCCACACTGACAGGGCATGGGGGTCCTGCTGGCCCTGCTTGGGCAAAGGGGGCACAGGCAGCACACCTGGGTCTTGGGACAGTGGGTCAAGTGGGGCTGGAGGTGCAGCAGGGCTGGAGTGCAGCAGGGCTGGAAGGTGTGCAGGAACAGGGCAGGGTTTGGTCCTGGGGCTTGTGACAGGGCTTGAGAGGCACTGCTTAGGGGACCAGGGAATGTGGGGTGTGGGGATGTAGGCACATGGACTGCAAGCCCTGAGCATATGGGGGACAGGGCTGGCAGTGCCTGGGGACACAAGGCTGGTGCACAGGGACATAAAGTGACCTGAGGGCACAGTTGTGGTCCTTAGAGTTCCAGGGCCATAGTGGGGCAGGACTCAGGCTGATGGGGCACAGGGACCAAGGGTGCACACGTGGGACATACACCAGATTGACGCCAACAGCACAGGCAGACGTGGCCAACATGGCCCGTGCCTCGATCTCGTAGTCATTGCTGATGATGCGGGCGGCCGCCAGATAGACCAGGGCTGCGGTCACAACCCAGATAGAGAGGACAGAGGCCAGCGCACCCAGCGTCTCTGTAGGATGAGACCCATCAGCACCCAACCCGGCCATGGGGGTCCCCCGGGGCTGCACAGGGCCTTGCCCCGCAGCTCACCTGAGCGGTGCCAGCCAAAGGTCATGGTCTTGGTGGGTGGGCGGTTGGAGACCCAGAGGGAGAAGAGGCTGACAGACATGCTGCCCACATCTGTCAGCAGGTGGGCTGCATCCGTCATGATGGCCAGGCTGTGTGCCAGGTACCCACCTGTGGGCACAGAGCAGCTGGCACCCCACGCCCCGCTGCAGCCCCCCACCCCGGCCCAGCCGCCGTTACCTATCACCTCCCCGACCATGAAGAGGCAGCAGACAGCGCAGGCGACGCTCAGCTGCCGGCCCGCCTGGAGCCTGCCCTGCCCGGGGCCGGGGGTCGGGGGGCTGCAGCGGCAGTGGGGATCTGGAGCCCGGGGAGCCGCCAGTGCCGAGGGGTCTCGAGAGCCTGTGAAGAGACTGGGGGCGGGGGTCACTGCCGGCAACACCGGCTCGGGTGCTCCTGCCCAGAACCCCCAAGTGTCCTGCTACCGCCTGGAGGCGTGCAGCCAGGCAGTCGATGGGGCACCGGCGGAACCCCCTGCAGCGGGACGAGCAGCCATGGCACCAGCGGCAGCAGCGGGAGGCGGCGGCGCGGGGGCCCCGCCGGAACCGAAGACGGGACTGGTGCGGGTACCCCCGGGGAGGTGCAGGTGGGAGCGATGTGTTGCTCCTGGCGCCAGGCTGCGGGACGGGCCACCGGTGCGGAGACGTGGGGCATGGGGAAGGGGAGGCGGGGACCGAGGTCCTGGTGCGTGGGGCAGCAGTGCGGGAGTGGGGGCGGACAGCCCACCGGGACGGGGGCTAACGGATGAACGGTACCGGTGTGGGCGGGTGATGGATGGATGGTACCGGTGTGCGTGGGTGACGTTCGGGCACCGATAGGTACGGGACGGACACCCGAAGGGGGAGCGAGGCTGGCGCATGGTGGGGCCGGTTCCGCTTGAGCGGAGGTGCCGGTGGCGGGGTGAGCGTGCCGGTGGCGGGGTGACGGTGCAAGTGGCGGACGGTCAGGGCTGGCGCGGGGACTGCGGAGGTGCCGATGTCCGTTCGGATGGATGAAGGCACGGGGGCGGGCGGGAAGGGACGTGCCGGGGGTGCCGGTGTCGGGGGTGGGGGTGGGAGCTGCGCGGAGCGCGACGTGCCGGGGCTTGCGGGTGCCGGAGGAGCTGAGGGCGATGGGTGCGAGCAGGTGCCAGCAGCGCGGACGCGGGAGGACCGAGGGTGGCAGATGCGGGAGATAATGGAGGCGGCGGTGCGAGGAATTGCCGGGGCCCCGGGGAGGTGATGGGGTGCCGGGGGTGATGATGCCAGGGTAATGGGGGTGCCGATGTGTGTAATGGGAGTGCTAGCGCCGGTAATGGGGTTGTCGGGACGATGGTGTGCCGGTGCTGATGGAAGTGCCAGGGTGGTGACTGGTGTGTCGGAGGTGCCGGGGCGATGAATGTGCCGGTGATGGAAGTGCCGTCGGTGCCGGAGGCGCCGGTGATGGAGTTGTGCTGGCGGTGGCGGGGGTGCCGGGGTGATGGGATGTCTGGGCGATGGGTGCCGGTGATGGATGCCGGGGCGATGATTGCCGGTGCCGGCGGTACCTCTTGAGGCGCAGGCTGCCGTCGGCGCGGCCGCCCCGCGGGCTGACCAGGCGGGCGCTCTCGGTGCCGGTCGGGGGCTCCATCCCGGGAGCGAGCTGCACCGCGGACACCGGCACCGCCGAGCCCCGCCCCTGCCGTGACTCCGCCCCAGCCGCCGAGCCCGCCCACGCCCCGGTGGTCCCTCCCGCGGCGCCGCCGTTCCGGGCTCGGGGGCGGCCGCGGCGGGGTGCGAGGGGCCGCTCCGGTGTCGCGGTCCAATGGATCTCCGGGAGCTGTGTGTAAGGGACGCTGCTGTCACCGGGGAAGTTCAGCCTCACCTCCTGTCCCTGAGCAGGTGATGGCACAACTGATCCTGAACGCCGTCTGAGGACGGGAAAGGACAGACTGGACGGGAGCTGGAGAGAAGCCGGCGCCGATGTGGATCGTGCCTGACGATTCGGATCACCTTCACGGTGAAATGCCAGAGCCGGTGCACCAGGGGAGTGCAGGGGACAGTGTCTGCCCCGGCCGCAGGAAGGCTTTTGGCGCTGTACCTCTTGGGATCCAACGACGAGGTGTTGGGAGCATGGGCTGGAAGAGTCGGGAGCGGCTGCATTGGACCGGGGCTGTATGGCCGAGCCCAGAGCAGGGTGTTCAGCGGCCGGTAATGAGCAGTGTACCCCGGGGTCAGTGCTGAGTCCAGCCCCGTCTATCGCCGCCTTTAGGGACCTGGAAGCCAGGCAGAGCACGCTCAGCACGGTGACAGATGGCACCGACCGTGCTGCTCCGTAGTGCGGAGAGATTCGGGATGTGCTGCAGAGCCGGGGGCAGGAGCCTGGGGAGGGTCAGCACCGGGCAGTGCCGGGTCCTGAGCGGGGAGGAACGACCTCAGGACGGGTAGGGGGCAGCCGCAGAAAAGACTCCAGGGGGCCTGGGAGACATCCGCGGTAGACTATGAACCAACAACGCACCCTTGGCGTGTCCTGGACACCACCCCGAGGCACCGGGCCCAGCGCTGTGTCCCCAGGACACGAGGGACAGGGACAAGCTGGGGACAGCTCGCCGAGCAGCCTGCGGTGCTGCAGGGCTGCAGCATCTCTGCCGGGGTAAGGCTGAGGGAGCTGCAGCTGCTGAGCCCGGAGCAGAGCGGGCCCCGGGATCGCTGGTGTGACACCTGCAGGGAGGGCTCTGCGGGTGAGCCCGGCCCGGGTGAGCCCGGCCCCGGTGAGCCCGGCCCCGGTGAGCCCGGCCCGGGTGAGCCCGGCCCCGGTGAGCCCGGTCGCGGTGAGCCCGGCGCGGGTGAGCCCGGCGCGGGTGAGCCCGGTCCCGGTGAGCCCGGCGCTCAGGGGCGGGGCTCAGCGATGGGCGGGGCCTGTGATGGGGGCGTGGTCTCGGTGGGCATGGCCGCGCTCGGGGGCGGGGCTCCATCGGGGGCGGGGCTCCGGCCGGGGCGGGGTCTGTTCCCCGGCCGCGCGCAGCCCGAGCCGTCCCGGCAGCCCCCGCGGCCGCGCGGCGATGGCGGCGGCGGGCGCGGAGGAGCGGCGGGGGGCGGCGGGGCCGGAGCGCGGCCCCGGTCCCGGCCCGCTGGGCTCGCTGCTCAGCCGCCTGCCGCTGGCTCCCGCTCCGGCCCCACGGCGCCGCACCGCCAGCCAGTGCAAGCCGGAGCCGCCGCTGCTGCGCACCAGCAAACGGACCATCTACACGGCCGGGCGGCCGCCCTGGTACAGCGAGACCGGCGCGCCCGTAGATGAGGCCTTTGTCATCGGTGAGCGGTGGGACGGGACCGGGGAGGGGATGGAACCGGAGCCGAGACCGGGCCGGGGAGGGGATGGAGGCCGGACCGGGGCCAGGGCCGGGCTGCAGTCGGAAATCGTGGAACGAATCCCCGAGGAGCGGCCGAGGAGGGGCTGGGGCCGGGCTGCAGCCGGATCCCGGGCCGTGACGGATCCGGGCCGGGGCGGTGCCCCCGCCGCTCCCCGCAGGCCTGTGCGGCGGCAGCGCCTCCGGCAAGACCACGGTGGCGACGCGGATCATCGAGGCGCTGGACGTGCCCTGGGTCGTGCTGCTCTCCATGGACTCCTTCTACAAGGTGCGTCCCGCAGTGCCCAAGGGCGGCCCGGTGGGTGCTGAGCTGTGCCGGCACTCGCGGTTCCGTGTACCGCTGGGTGCTGCTGGTGCTCCCGGGATCGGCCCCGGGCAGGGCTGCGGTGCCTGTGGATGCCGGGATCCCGAGCAGTGCTCGCTGCTGGTCCCGGGCCGGGCCTCCGACACGGCGCTGAGCGGTGCCGGTGCCTGCAGGTGCTGGATGAGGGGCAGCAGGCTCTGGCAGCCCGCAGCGACTACAACTTCGACCACCCCGATGCCTTTGACTTCGAGCTGCTCGTCAGTGTCCTGCGCAAGCTCAAGAAGGGCAAGAGCGTGAAAGTGCCGGTGTACGACTTCACCACGCACAGCCGGCGCCGCGAGTGGGTGGGTGCTGCAGGGGCCGGCCGGGCTGGCGGGGTCCTGGGAAAGGGGAGCCCTCTGGGCCCTGCAGGGCCTGGATGGTAAAGGGAGGGGACAGCTGGGGGTCACTGGGAGCGGGGGATTCATTCCGGGAGACTCTGGGTGGATGTGCAAACAGACCAGTGCAGATATGAGGGAGGGACTCAGTGTGGAGAGGTGCTAGGAGGACAGCATTGAGCAGAGCCTTGGGATCTAGAGCAAGGTTCAGGGTCTGTCCTGGACTGAAGCATCATGCACAGGGATGAATTATGGCTCCAAATCATTGGATGCTGCGGGACAGTTATGGGGAGCCCCAGCACAATGGTGAGACCCCAGGGGGGACAGTGACCTGTCTGTGTTGGTGCTGCCGTGGCATGTGAGAGAAACAGGACAAACCCAGCTCCTGTCTGCCTGCAGAAAACAGTGTATGGGGCCAACGTCATTGTGTTCGAAGGGATCCTGGCCTTCGCCAACAAGGAGCTGCTCAAGGTATCGCTGCATCAGGTGTCCGCTGGTCCCGAGGGGATGTGCTGCAGCAGGACAGGCACTGGCCCTGGGTGCCACTGCAGCAGTGGGGGCTGTGGAGGGAGAGGTTACCATGCTTCCTGACAGAGCACTACGTGTCAGAGGCCTCAGGGAGGGATGCTGGGTGCCACTGCGGGGTGGTGAGGGGAATAACACAGGTGTGATGAGAGCTGCATAGGGGGTGCTCACCCCTCCCAGTTTTCCAGCTCCTGGACATGAAAGTGTTTGTGGACACGGACTCCGACATCCGTCTGGTGCGGCGGCTGCAGCGCGACATCATGGAGCGCGGGCGGGATGTTGCAGGGGTCATCAAACAGTACAACAAGTTTGTGAAGCCAGCCTTCGAGCAGTACATCGAGCCCACCGTGCAGGTTGCCGACATCGTGGTGCCCAGGGGTGAGGCCAGAGCTGACCCTGGCTTTGGGAGCGGGTGCTGTGGGGCAGGAGTGGGTCAGCGTCCGCCCCATCTGCCTCCTCTGCTCCACTCTCAGGTGGGGAAAACTTCGTGGCACTGGACCTCATTGTGCAGCATGTGCACAGCCAGCTGGAAAAGGTGAGCCAGGGGTGAGGAGGAGGAGGAGGGTCCTGCACGTAGAAGGCAGAACATGGCTGCACACAGACCTGTGCTCTTGGAGCACCTGAGGGGGCTCTTGACATCACCTGTCTCTTCTCAGAAGGCCCCAGCACGGTGCTTGGGGAGCAGACCTGTGAGGTGGGCACAGGGGAGGAGGGTGGGGAGCCAGCTAGGCTGTTGTGGCGGCTGTGCTGGCCTGTGAGTGACTGACAGGGTGTCCTTCCTGTTCCCCTGTGCTGCGCCGGTGACCTCTCCACCACCCAGCGGGAGATTACAGTCAGGTACGTGGGGCCCAGGCTGCACAGGGGCCTGTTCCGGGCTGGGGGGGCTGCTGGCACCCACTGGGTTCCAAGTCTTACTGCCTCCGTGTCCCTGCTGGCCGAGCTTTGCTGAGGTGCCTGAGCGTAGCTGCTCCTCCCCAGTGCTGCAGGGGCTGTGCTCAGCTCCTTAGGGCCTGTCACAGCTCTGGGTTCTGTGTCACACGTCCCACACTGTGGCTGATGCATGTGGCCAGCTCCCTGTCTTGGTCCTGTCCCTCTCTGGAGCAGGGCTGCTGTCCTGGCTGCTGAGTTACCCTGGGCTGTTCAGTTCTGTGGGAGAAGTGCCCTGCATGGTTCCTGTTCCTGGCAGTTTATGCCCCATTTCAGCAGGACATTTCAGCTTGTCCCTTGTGGTGCACAGCCCAGTCCCAGGGTGCATGGGAATGTCCTGCAGAGCTGCAGATCCTGCTGCTGGCCAAGGCTGGTGCTGCAGAGGCTGCAGAGTGTGTGGTCCGGGAGGTTCACCCCAGTCTTTTTGGGTAATCTGGCTCTGGGGTACCAGACTTGGGGCATTCTTCAGGATCTAGGCGGGAAGGCCAAGCACAGTGCTGACCTTTCAGAGGGGTGGTTCTAGAGCCTTCCTTTGTCAGGGTCGTGTCCCTCCAGGGGCCCAGTGCTGTGAGTGTGCGTGTGCTGCACAGCTCTGAGCTCCTTCCTCACTGCAGGGCAGCCCTGGCCTCTGCCCACCAAGGGCAGCCCCTGCCAAAGACACTGAGCGTCCTGGAGAGCACGCCGCAGGTTCGGGGCATGCACACCATCATCAGGTACATCCCGGCCCCAGGTACATCCCTGCCCCAAGCCCCTGCACACCATCATCAGGTACATCCCGGCCCCAGGTACATCCCTGCCCCTGGCCCCTGTACACCATCACCGGGTACATCCCTGCCCCAGGCCCCTGCACACCATCACCAGGTACATCCCGGGCCCAGGTACATCCCTGCCCCAGGCCCCTGCACACCATCACCAGGTACATCCCTGCCCCAAACCCCTGCACACCAGCCCCAGGTACATCCCTGCCCCAGGCCCCTGCACACCAGCCCCAGGTACATCCCAGGTACATCCCTGCCCCAAGCCCCTGCACACCATCACCAGGTACATCCCTGCCCCAGGCCCCTGCAAACCAGCCCCAGGTACATCCCAGGTACATCCCTGCCCCAGGTACATCCCTGCCCCAGGCCCCTGCTCTAGGCTGGTTGGTGGGATCACACCACAAAGCCTGGGGTGTTTTTCCCTTTTGCCCATGGAACTGCAGTCGGTGGTTGGCCTGGAGCAAAACAGCTGAATGGAGCTAGCCCTGGCCCCATGGGCACTTCTCTGGTGACCAGATCTCTGCACATCTGCTTGGGGTGATTCCTGAGCCAAAGGCAGGCTTTTCCTACAATGGGAAGGGACTGGTTGGCTCTTTTCTCACATGTGGAGCAACTGGTTACATGGAGCAAGGTACCCCTTGCTCCTCTCCCAGGGCACTTGGGTTTAGAGCTAGCTTAGAGAAGGGACCTGGGCATCTGCTTCTATGACTTCACCACTCTTGATCTTTTCTTTCCCCTCTGATGCTCCTTTTTTCCAGGTGACAGTAGCGTCAGTTAGTGAAGGGTCAAGGGCTGAGGCCTTTGGGACTACGGAGAGGTTCATTGTTTTTGCAGCTGCAGAACCTGGCAGCCCCCAGGTGTGTTTTTCCAGAGCAGAGGGGATGTGGAGCTCAGTCAGGTCCTCCTATGCCTTTCATGCTGTGGCTGCTATGGCAGCTGTGTGTTGGTTGGGAAGGTGTCAGCTCATGTCCTTGGGAG